ATTATTCTCTCCCCTTCCTACTCCACATATCAAGAAGCGCTCAACACACTGACCCTTTCGACTCTCACTGACCATCACCACGGCCTCATCTGCAAATTTGGTAAGAAGCTTCTACACCATCCCCGACACCGGCCCCTACTACCACCTGAGATCCCCTGTCCGAGAATTGCTGTTCGACACCACAACCGCATCCAGCCCATACGTGCACGAACTGATCGCTATAAGAACAGCCCAGTCCCAACCATTGTAAAATTATCAATAACATGTAATAAATCAGTGTATTCACTCCCAGTAAACACTGCTCCCTACACTGTCACTATGTTGAAATGAACTGTATTTTGAGCTGATCCCCATCTAAGTTACTATATGTCTTATTTGTGTCACTTATGTCACTTGTATATTATTTGTAATTCGTAACCCATTCCCCAAATATGTAACTGTATATTTTCAGCCTTCTGGCTGCCAAGCTCTTTCAATAAACCGTTAATTATTATTATTATTATTATTATTACACACAGCTCGAGAAACAAGATAGCAATCGGCTGTAAACCATAAGCCTGGTCCAGCTAATTGCCCCCCCCCCCGCCTCAGTGTCCAGTAAGGGTGGCGGGGGGATGGCTTTGGAGTGTGTATACTTCCCGTCTGTCCGTCCCTCCGTCCGTCCGTCCATCCGTCCGTCCGTGTGTTATAACAGTAGTACGATATTGTGTCATAAAGTGAATAATTAATACCAGTCATATCGTTTCACCTTACCTAACATCAACCTAACCTAACCTAACCTAACCTAACCAAACCTAACCTAACCAAACCTAACCTAACCAAACCTACAGTGATATAACATACACAGTAATTATATACAACCATCAACAAACTACAACAACTACCGATAACAACTAACAACTTGGTCTCCTCAGTTTAGTAATTAACAACAAACTGATACAACAACAACATCTACAAGCACTGACTTTGTTTATCAATTAATACCAAGATACAGACATTGTTTTGGCAACACTGAAGACAAGTGTAGGTAGGAGGTGAAGCAAGAGAGGGGGGAGGGAAGGGAAGGTGTACAGGGAGGGAGGGAGGGGAGGGAAGGTGTACAGGGAGGGAGGGGAGGAAGGGAAGGGGGCCGACAGGCCAAGAGTTAAGACAGGAAGGTGATGTGAATGGGACGGTAATTATACAGAGGTGAGCATTGTATCTGGCAACTGTGTTTCATGTTACCAGTTATAATTTGTTGAAGTATAACCTACTCTAATCTCTTGTGTATGTGTGTGTGTGTGTGTGTGTGTGTGTGTGTGTGTGTGTGTGTGTGTGTGTGTGTGTGTGTGTGTGTGTGTGTGTGTGTGTGTGTGTGTGTGTGTGTGTGTGTGTGTGAGTACTCCATATACATTAAACTTTTTCTTCCTCTCCCACATTCTCCTACACTCCCTCCCTCCCTTCCCTCCTCCCCTTCTCTTCTCCCTTTCCCCTCTCCACTAATCCCCTCTCCCTCCCTCATCTTTCTTCCTGTTTATTTTCTCCCCTTCCTTCCCCCATTCCCCTTTCCTTTCCTCTTCCCCTTCTACCTTCCTTTCCCTCCCACCACCATCACGTTTTTCCACCTCAAATCTAACCTAACCTAACCTATTTTAGTATAGGTTAGGTTAGTTTTGGTCAGAGTAAGTTTAAGTTAAATTGGATTAGATTAAACTAGATAAAGTTGATTAGATTAACCCAGATTTAATTAGGTTGGATAAGGTTCAATATGGATTAAGCTAAAACCGATTAGATTAGGTTAGAAGACTAAGTTAGATTAGGTTAACTCACAAAAAAAACAAGTTAAACACACACACACACACACACACACACACCCTTGACCACCGATGGGTCAAGACGTACCTGGCGCTCCTCTCGGAGCAGCCAGGTCAACTGTTAAGTTGGCCCATATCAACTCCCTCCCCTGAACCCTCCTCCCCACCGGAATATCAACAAGTACTCGCCAGAAGTTACTATTTCACTTAGGAAAGGAATGGAACCAGTGTTAAACAGAGGTGAACAGTGGTGAACAGTGCTTAAGTCAGTGAGAACAACTCAACAGTAACAGTCGTACCCAAGTTAACCTTCACACAGTGAGGTCCCAGGTACCCAGTGATAACGGCCCGTGAGACCCAACAACCAGCCATGTGTTAATCCGTCTACGATAGGAAGGCCTGGGACCACACCTCACTCATATAACACCATCTGTGAGGGAATTACTACACCACGTCAGGTCCCTCATAACACCATCTGTGAGGAAATTACTACACCACGTGAGGCCCCTCATAACACCATCTGTGAGGGAATTACTACACCACGTGAGGCCCCTCATAACACCATCTGTGAGGGAATTACTACACCACGTGAGGCCCCTCATAACACCATCTGTGAGGGAATTACTACACCACGTGAGGCCCCTCATAAACACCATCTGTGAGGGAACCCATTACACCACGTGAGGCCCCTCATAACACCATATGTGAAGGAGCTACTACACCACGTGAGGCCCCCATAACACCATCTGTGAGGGAATTCTGCACCACGTGAGGCCCCCCATAACACCATCTGTGAGGAAATTACTACACACGTGAGGCCCCTCATATACACCATCTGTGAGGGAATTACTACACCACGTGAGGCCCCGCATAACACCATCTGTGAGGGAATTACTACACCAAGTGAGGCCCCTCATAACACCATCTGTGAGGGAATTACTACACCACGTGAGGCCCCGCATAACACCATCTGTGAGGGAACTACTACACCACGTGAGGTTGGGAGGGAGTTACTACACTACGTGTTTGCTGTTCAACACCTACAATAATCTGTATGTTCACTGTATGTTCCTTTACCTTTCTCTAATGAAGGCTTTTGTTAAACCACTAATGTATGTAATAAGTCATTTATGTCCAATGTATATTTTCAGCCTTCGGGCTGCAGAACTTTTTCAATAAACCGTCAATTATTATTATTATTATTATTATTATTACACACACACACACACACACACACACACACACACACACACACACACGGTTAATCTCATCATAATAAAGGTCATTTCTTTCTCCGTTTCAAACTCAATGATCGACAACCATAACTGGGACACACTTAAGCGCTAATTGGCAACCCTTACACGCTTTGGATACTTGTTTCGGGTGAATGACATCCCGACGCGGACAGACAGATAGACAGACAGACAGAGGGGTGGATTGATGACAGACAGACAGACAGACAGACAGACAGGCACACACACAGATAAATAGATATATAGATAGATAATACAGGTGTTACGTGTACCTGTAGCTCATTAACCTGGTTTAAGTTACCTTATTAACAGCTTCTAACTTTCTAATTTAACAAGTGTCTCAGGTGAAAACACACGCTGATGGGGGTAGGGGGAGGGGAGAGGGGTGTGAGGAGGAGGGAGGTAGCGAGAGAGAGAGAGAGAGAGAGAGAGAGAGAGAGAGAGAGAGACGGATGGGGTAAAGAGACAGACAAAAAGAGAGAAATAGATAAAAAGACAGATGCAGATAGAAACGGACAGACAGACAGACAGAGGAGACAGACACATACGCTTCATTAATTCAGAAGACAAACAAACAGCTAATTAGAGCTTTAATCCCACATAATCAGGTAAATGAACCTTAATATCAGATTAGGATTACATTTACTTTATATAATACGGGGAAAATAATCAGATTTATTCCCATTTTAATCAGCTAAGGTGTAGTGCTGGGGGTGGCAACACTGTGGGAGGGTGTAGTGCTGGGGGTGGCAACACTGTGGGAGGGGTGTAGTGCTGGGGGTGGCAACACTGTGGGAGGGTGTAGTGCTGGGGTGGCAACACTGTGGGAGGGTGTAGTGCTGGGGGTGGCAACACTGTGGAGGTGTAGTGCTGGGGGTGCAACACTGTGGAGGGTGTGTGGGGGGTGGCAACACTGTGGGATAAGTGAGGGTCACAACTCATAAAAAATGGATGACAGACTCGGTTGAATGGAACCCCCTTCCTCCGCCCCTTAACCAAGATGGAGAGAAGGAGGGGGGAGACGGTAGGAAGTAGGGGAAGGAAAGGGAAATCAAGAAAGGGAGACGGAGGGAAAAGTAAAGGGTCAAAGGAACGAATATTGGGAGGTATATGGGAAGGAAAAGAGGGAGAGAATGAGGAAGGGAATAATGAAAGGAGGGAGAAGGACGGAAGGATGAAAAAGGAAGGAAGAAGTTGGAAGGGAAAATGGTAAAGATACAACGTGGGAAGAAGGGAGGGAAGGAAGGAGGGGGAAGATGTGGAAGCGACAAAAGAAAAATAGATAAAAAAAAAACAGGGAGGGGGAAGAAGGAAGAGCAATGGAGGAAGAGAAAAGGGAGGTGGGAAGGGGAATTGGGAGGTGAGGAGGGTGGGTGTATTGTGTAGTGGTGATACTATGACGTAGGGGAAGAAGGATAGGGGCAATATCTCTCTCTCTCTCTCTCTCTCCACAGGTAATGAAAATTATAATTAAGTCAGTCTTACCTGTATGTATTTGTGATAATCAAATTAGCCATCGATGACTCATAATTCTTTCACTATAATAATTTGTTATACTTTCATTATTTTAAGGGCTGATAGTGTATGTTGGAAGTCTTTTGTCAGATTTAGGCTGTCAAGTATTATAAAATTTTACTAAAACTTTTCTCACTATACTTTCAAACGAGCTTCGTTTATGGCTGACAGAACAGGCAAGGTTTTAAATTAGATATTCCAATATTTTTATTTTTTAACATTTCAACATATTCGAAGTCACTAGTTAGCTTATTCGAAGCCATTAGTTAGCTTATTCGAAGTCATTATTTTATATTATATATGTATAATATATTTAACTCGATATTATTGTAACAATATTGAAATTTAGTGATGTAAATTTTCTATAGTTCACCATTGTGCATTTTCTTTGTTCAATTTATTTACATCATACTGTAACTGTAACCGACGGCTTCTCTGA